CTTTCTTCCCAACTTGTCATACTCCTTTTCAAAAGTGTGTATATTTTGTTGTCCAAAGCTTTATCACAAACCTTCTTTTATTTTCTGGAAATGAACTTTGCTTGGCCTTTATTTATAAAACAGAGTTTATACCCTAGAGAGCTGTAAAGCAGATGAGTCTGTCTTTAAATACCATTGTGAACCCTAAGCTGGAAGCTGTGAACAATGGGTTCTTGAAAGTTGTGTATATTTCTGAAGACCATTCTCCATATTACTGAGTATTTAGGAACAGATGGTAAAGGATCTTCCTATTAATGTGCCACTAAAAACCTATCCCTCCTGAGGCAAAATTTTAGAGGTTTCAGGAAAAAGCTTTAGAGAGCATTTCTTCATAGAGGGGCCTGGTGGCACACATCAGTTGTCCAGCTATTTGAAAGGCAGAGTCAGGAGGTTACCTTGAGTCCAGGAGTTCAAGACCAGGTTGGGCAACATAGACTCTTACTCCTTAATGTTTTGGAATGTGGGAAATACTGTCTTCTCACCTACAGCTTTTAAGTGCTCTGTGGAAGTTGAGTGTACATTCTGTCAGTGCTTGTAGGGATGTGGTGGAAGACTTCTTTCCTTATCTTCACATCATTCTGGCCTTGGCATCTTTTATGATTTAATCCCTGTGGAAATAGCACTCAGAGACTCTTAGCATGTGATATCTATCTGCTTTAATGCATGACTGTTCTGTGTAGAAGTTTTATATGACATTTAAGAAAAAGTGACATAATTTGAAAGGTAAAAGCTCTTTGAATAGAATACCTGCTGTCAGGATTAGTTTTGTATAATAGTTAAACCTAGGCAGGTTTGTTTCTTTTGTTCTTTTGTTTCTTTTTGAGGCAGGATCTCATTGTGTAGTTTAGGCTGGCTTTCAACTCACTGTGTAACCCAGGCTGGTCTCTTTGAGATCCTGCTGTCTCAGCCTCTCAAGTGCTGGCATTACAGGCATGCTCCACCATGCCCAACTTTCTTGTTCAGATTGCACTGTGCATTGTGCGACATTTGTCCAAGCTGTGTTCAGCTAACCTTCCTGCCTCAGCATCCCATGTAGTTAGGACCACCATGCTTGTCAAATTGGCTATTTGATATGCCTTTTTCAAAAAATGAATTTTAGGTTTTGCCATGTCCTCATTGTAGTTCTTTAAAAGTTATTTGACCTCTTTTTCCTTGTTGTATAAAGCAGGGATTCATCATATATAGTGTGATCAAAAACTTTGCTATTTTTAAACTTTTTTTAGTTTAAAAAACTATGGTAAAGGACACATACCCATAAATCTCCTTTGTTTCTAAAATGCCTGTCCCATCTTTCCCACTTTGTAAAGCAGTCTGAAGTCCCCTTTAATGTCCTTATTTGCAGTATCATGGCTGCCTGCATGTCCTTAATCCATTGAAAACAGTTACCTGAGTTTAGGAAAGAACCCAAAGTCACACAGTGACAGATCTGGTGACTTGGGTGAATGAGAATACATATTGTTCAAACCAGGAAACTCAGCTGGTGGCTGGGGTAAGACTGTGCACCATCCCGAGCCCCATGGAGACTTTAAGATCATCTCTTCCCGAGCTCAAGGACCCGCCCAGAGCCCAGCCACACTGAGCTGCGCTTGGCAGGTTTCAGGCCTGCCCAAGACACGCCCAGTGACCTCCCAAACCAGGAAACTCAGATGGCGGCTGAGGTAACACCTCGTGCCATCCCGAGCCCCTGGGAGACTTTAAGATCATCTCTTCCAGAGCTCAAGGACCCACCCAGAGCCCAATCACACTAAGCTGTGCTTGGCAGGTTTCAGGCCTGCCCAGTGCCCATCTCCCAAACCAGGAAACTCAGCTGGCAGCTGGGGTAAATTTGCGTGCCACCCTGAGCCCCGGGAGACTTTAAGATCATCTCTTCCAGAGCTCAAGAACCCATCCAGAGCCCAGGCACAGTAGACTAGCCTTGGGAGGTTTTGTGGACCAACTATATTTCACCCAGTGACTTTCAATTACGGGATTTGAAAGCAGGTGAAGTGAGTTCCAGGGCATTGGTCTTTGGGGGAAGCTTTAACCCATCATCCACAGTGGTTATATGCCTGCCCAGCTACCTGGAACACTGAAGGTGGCATAAAAGGGCCTGAGGGCCTACCTGGACCAGGCTCAGCAACTTCCATTTGGTCCCAGGAGCCTAGGGCACAGGAGATGATTTCCAGCACATCCAGGGGAAGCCTTGGAACAACACTTGAAGCACAGAAATACAGGAAAATGACAAAGCAAAAGACCAAAATGCAATCTCAAACCTCCAGCCCATCCCAAGAAACCTTATGAGCTATGTACACAGAAGAAAATATATGGCATACACCTGAAATACCTGAAATAATAGCAACTGAAATGAAGCTACTCCGTGAAGCTTTAGAGGAATTTAGAGATAATCTCCCACGTAAAAGAAGAAATGATACAAGAAATGAAAGAGATGCTGAACATAACTAAAGAAGACCCAGTTTAAAAATTAGAGGAACTAAACAAAAAGGTAGAATCCCTAGACGAACCATATAAGAAACAAACAGAATACATAAAGCAGATGCAAAGAGATATACAGGAAATCAAAAATTCCATTGAAAGTTGTAAAAACTGCCTCATTGAAATTGAATTCTATAATTTCAGATCTTGAAGACAAGATTGCAGCTAGTGAACAGGAAAGGCAAGATCTTTTAAAAATAACAAGGAATCAGGAAATAACAATTCAACAGCTGCAAGATGATGCAAAGAAAAACAACATAAGATTGATAGGGATAAATGAAAAAGAAGGGGACAACATAAAGGATGTCAAGATGATACTTAGGGAAGTAATAGTTGAAAATTTCCCAAACATGAGAATGGAAACTGACATCACAATCAGTGAAGCATAGAACTCCTAATAGTCATAACCAAATAAAACTATACCCAGACATATAATCACCATCCCAGAAATCCAACATAAGAATAGACTGTTAAAAGCTGTCAGAAAAAGACAGATCACCTATAAAGGAAAACCTATCAGAATCACAGCAACTTCCCAGCATGAACAATAAAGTCAAGAAGAGCATGGAGTGAAGTATTTCAGATCCTAAAGGAAAATGATTTTCAACCTAGACTGATGTACCCTGCAAAACTGTCCTTCAAAATTGATGGAGAAATAAGATACTTCCATGACAAAGAACAGCTGAAGAACTTCATGATTTCCAAGCCAACCCTGCAAAGAATACTGAAAGACAGTTTAGATACACTGAGGAAAAAACCACTAAACAAAGCAGACAATTAAACAGAATGGAAAGATAAAGATTCAACAGCAGAAAGATAACATGTCAATAATAAACATATAACAGTTATAACCATTAATGTAAGTTCTCAGTGCACCAATCAAAAGAAACAGACTGACAGAATGGATCAAGATACAACATCCAACCATATGCTGTAATACAAGAAACCCGTCTAACCCAAAAGGATACTCACAGACTGAAAGTCAAAGGATGGAAAACAGTACTTCATGCAACAGGAACCCCCCAAAAAAGCGTGGGTAGCTATTCTGTTTGCAGACAATGTGAACTTCAAACCAAGAATGATCAGAAGAGAGAAAGAAGGTCATTACATACTGGTTAGGGGAAAACTTCAAGAGGAAGACATAACAATCTTTAAATATATATGCACCAAATTCCAGAGCACCCAGTTATATAAAACAAATATTAACAGAAATGAAAAACCAAATTAGCAGTAACACAATTATAACAGGAGACCTTAAAATACCATTGATACCAAGGACAGATCAACCAGAGAGAAAATCAGCAAAGAAGTAACAGAACTGAATCATGCCTATGAACAAGTGGACTTGATAGACCTATAGAGAGTGTTCCATCCAACATCAGAATACACATTCTTCTCAGCAGTACATGAGACATTCTTTAAATAGATCATATATTAGCTCTCAGAACATATTTAAATAAATGCAAAAGAGTTGAAATTATCCCATGCATGTTATCGGATCATAGCGCCATGAAGTTAGAAATTAATGATAAAAAATACAGCACAAATCCCACAAACACATGGAAACTGAATAACACACTCTTGAGTAATAGAAGAAATTAAACAATACCTACAAGCAAACGAAAATACAAATACAACTTACTGGAATCTGTGGGATGCAATGAAAGCTGTCCTCAGTGGAAAATTTAATGCACTGAGTTCCCGTATCAAGAAAACAGAACGAATACAAATAAATAACCTGATGCTACACCTCAAACATCTAGAAAAAGAAGAGCAAGTCAAGCCCAAAGCCAAAAGAAGGGAGGAAATTACAAAAATCAGAGCAGAAATTAATGCAATAGAGACTCAGAAAACAAAGAATCAATGAATCAAAGAGTTGGTTCTTTGAAATTATAAATAAAATTGATAAGCCCCTAGTCACAGACTCTGTAGAAATACAGAAGATCAACACCTATTTCGAAAACCTCTACTCATAGGTTTGATAACACAGAAGAAATAGATCCCTAGAAACATGAAGTACCAAAACTAGGTCAAGAAGATGTAAAACTGCTGAATAACCCAATTTCTATTAATGAAATTGATAATGTAATTAAGTCTTTACCTACAAAGAAGAGCCCAGGCCCAGATGTATTCCCTGCAGAATTCTACAAGAAGTACAAAGAAGACTTAATGCCGACACTCCTCAAACTCTTCAGTGAAATTGAAAGGCAAGCAATCCTTCTTAAGTCATTCCTGGGAGCAAATATTACTCTAGTACCAATACCTGAGAAAGACTCAACTAAAAAAGACAACTACAGGCCAATCTCGCTAATGAACACGGATGCAAAAATCCTCAGTAAAATATTGGCAAATAGGATGCAGCAAATCATCAAGAAGATTATACACCATATCCAAGTGGGATTCATCCCATGCATGCAGGGATGGTTCAACATATGTAAATCAATAAATTACTACACCATATCAGTAAAGCCAAAAGTAAGAATCACATGAACATTTCTTTTTTTATTTCATTATCTTTATAATATTATAATATAATTTATCTTTCTTTCAATCACATATATCAAAATGAGATGAAATACAAAACATTACAGAACTTACAAAACAGAATATTGAATAGAGCAGTACCATTAATCAGAATAGAGCAAAACAGTAATAAAAATATTTGCCTTCAAAGAGATGGTAGAAGGAAGTCCCCTTATTTGCTATGATCAACCTCCTAGGAGATGCTCAGATTTCTGGTTCCCATTTGCTAACGGCGGGGGGGACAGGAAAAAGGGGTAAGGGAAGTGGGATGTTTGACTCTAGGCCGTGCATCAGTAGGTTCACTATTGCTTAGCAGGAAGGCAGGCTGGTTGTTTGGTGTCCCAGCATCCTAAGTTCCAACATGGCATGGGTCTCAAGAGCTGCTGGTGGTTCTCCCCCTGGAAGGGCTGTAGTCTGCCACACTGCCACCACTTACCAGGGAGGGGAGATGCTTGCTTGGTTTCTTGGTGTCCTAAGTTCCAACATAGTGGGGATCTCAGGAGCTCCTGGTGGTTCTTCCCCTGGAAGGGCTGCAGTCTGCCACACCGCCACCACTTACCAGGGAGGGGCAGTGTGTGCTTGGCTTCCCGGTGTCCTAAATTCCAACATGGTGTGGATCTCAGGAGCTGCTGGTGGTTCTCCCCCTGGAAGGGCCGCAGTCTGCCACACCACCACCATTTACCAGGAAGGAGAGGTGCTTGCTTGGCTTCCCAGTCCACATGATCATTTATGATAAGAACCTTACAGAAAATTGGAATAGATGGTCTTTACCTCAATATAATAAAGGCCATCTGTGACAAACCAACAGCCAGTATCATACTAAATGGCCAAAAACTGAAGGCCTTTACCTTAAAATCAGGCACAAGGCAAGGATGTCCCTTATCACTGCTCCTATTTAATATAGTATTGGAAATACTTGCCAGAGCAGTTAGACAAGAGAGAGAAATAAAAGGGGTAAAGATAGGAAGAGAAGTTAAATTATCATTATTTGCAGATGACATGATACTCTACATAGAAAACCCCCAAAACTCCATTGAAAGACTCCTAGATATAATAAGTAAATTCAGCATTTTAGCTGGATACAAAATCAATACTCAAAAATCAATAGCATTTCTATATACTAACAACAAAATCACAGAGAGAGAAATAAGAGAAGCTACACCCTTCACATTAGCAACCAAAAAAATGAAATATTTAGGAATTATTCTCAAGAAGTGAAAGAACTATATAGGGAAAATTATAGTACACTGAAAGAAGAAATTGACGAGGATCTCAGAAAATGGAAAGACATCCCTTGCTCGTGGATAGGAAGAATAAATATTGTGAAAATGGCCATTCTCCCAAAACTGCTATACAGATTCAATGCAATCCCAATACAAATACCATCAATATACTTCATGGATCTAGAGAAATCACTCCTAAAATTCATCTGGAACCAGAAGAGACCTAGAATAGCAAAGATAGTTCTAAGCAGCAAAGGCAAGGCAGGAGACATCACAGTCCCTGACTTGAAGTTATACTACAAAGTAACACACTCAACCACACACACTCAACCACCTTATCTTTGATAAAGGGGCCAAACATGTTCACTGGAAGAACGACAGTCTCTTTAATAAATGGTGTTGGAAAAACTGGCTCTCCATATGCCAAAAACTAAAACTAGACCCATGCCTATCACCATGTACTAAATTAAAATCTAAATGGATCAAAGATCTTAATATTAAAACAGAAACACTAAACCTATTGGAAGACAAATTGGGTAAAAACCTTGAAGACATAGGAGTAGGTAGAGAATTCCTGAACGGGAATCAAACCGCACAGGAAATACTTCCCAGAATCAATAACTAGTATTGCCTCTTATTAAAAAGTTTCTGCATGTCAAAAGTAATCTCCAGCATAGTGAAAAGAAAACTCACAAACTGGGCAAAAAAATCTTAGTGAACTGTCCCTCACACAAAGGACTTCTGTCTAAAACATACAAAGAACTAAAAAAACAGACCCCCAAAATTCAAAGATCCAATCCAAAAATGGGCATCTGACATGAATACACAATTCTCAGATGAAGAAATACAAATGGTAAATAACTACATAAGACTCACTGTTGGAATGTCCACTTTACAAGCTTTAATTTTGTGACTTGAACAATTATTTCTAAGATGACAATATGTAATCCATTAACTAGTGATTTCCTACTGTTTATTTTTTTCTGTAAATCTGTATAACTAGTACCCTTTCTCTGATTTTTTTTCTCCTTAAATAAAATTTAAAAAAAAAGAAATGTCCATCATCATTAGTCATTTGTGAAATGCAAATTAAATCCACACTGAGATTCCATCTCCAGAAAGAATGGCTAGGATCAAGAAAACTTGACAACACAGCAACAAATACTGGAGCGTCTGTGGGGAAAAAGGAACTCTCCTGCACTGTTGTGGAGATCTGTCTGGAGATTTCTCAAAAAGCTGGTATTGGAAGTCCCATGTGTTCCAGCTATTTCACTTCTAGGCATATTCCCACAAAAACTGAACACATCATACCACAGTGATATATGTGCACCCTTGTTTATAGCAGCACAATTTGTATTAGCCAGATCTTGGAAACAACCTAAGTATCCATCAACTGAGGAATAGATAAAAAAGATGTGGTATTTTTATACAACGGAGTACTACTCAGCTATAAAGGTTGATCACATTGAGATATTTATAAATAAATGGGCACAGCTTGACACCATACTCATAAGCAAAATAAATCAAACTCACATGTATAAATACCAAATAGTTTCCCTAGTGTAAGAAATGGTAAGAATACATAAAATTATGTGGTAACCATGATTCCCCAGTATATTGCTTTGAAGCCTTATAATGTTTCCATTCATTAATTGGAATGGTTTTTTTCTGGGTTGTTTGATTTTATTGTCTGTGATGCTATGAACACTTATTTTGAAGAAAACAAGACAATATAATAGCTAGTGCTGATTTAATATCATCTTGTTTGGAAGTCCCATGAAGCTTTTGTTCTTCTGTCTCCATCAGTTCATCATGTTGTATCTTACTGGATTTTATTATATGTGATAGTATAAACAAAATTTTTTATAGACAAGGAGATAATATAGAAACCATTCTTTGTTTTCTGTTAGCTGGTCCTGAACCCTGTAATACTTCTATTCTCTTGAATGGTTTTACACTGTCATGTTGTGTTTGATGCTATAATATACAAAGTTATACTCAAATATTTCAAGGAAAGAGACACTATGGTAGCTACTGTTATGTCGGGTTATCTTGTGGTGAAACACTATGTTGCTTAAATTGTTCTGTTCTGACCTGTGTTATTATGTTGTTATGTCCTCTTTTATGTTATTCTCCTTCCTTAAAATTTTTAATTAAAAAAAAAAGACATATTGTTACAAGGGTGCCTTTCCATTGAGTAGCACTTGGCAGAATTTACTGTATGTTTGATCATATCTCATAAAGATATGAAAGAGACTTCCAGAACTATGTGAAAAAGTGGCAACAAGGCTGGGTGTGGTGGTGTATGCCTGTAATCAGTATCCTGGATGCTGAGGCAGGAGAATTACTGTGAGTTCGAGGCCAGCCTGAAATGTAGTAGTGAAACACTGTCTCAAAAAAACAAGTGAGAAGAATGATAAACATGTTCTAACCAAGGAAAAATATTTTTAGGGGTATCAATTGAGATGTCTCAACTGTAATAATTTTTTAAAATTTAAACATTCACCGTAGATTTTGATGTTTCTCCCTTGCTTTTGCTCTCACTCTGTGTGTTTGTGGTGTGTGTATGTATGTTCATTGCTGGAGTTGCCTTAATTTGTTTAGTGAAGGCGACTGTCAAGGTGTTTTTTGAAATCTTTTATAGTTTTTAAGCAAGTGGTTGACTATCTTTGGCACTATTTTTCTGCGTTGATTCTGAAGAAATAAAGAGAGACAAAGGTAGAAAGGCCTTTAATATGGGCACAGGTGAGCTACAAGAAGTGTAGGGGCGGCTCTCAGAACAAAGAAGTGAAGCTACGTTTATCAGGTTTGGCTGGGGGAGGAGTTCGGGAGGTAGTCACAGTGACCATATTAACAGCTGATTTGAAGAAGCCTCTGCATGTGCAAAACAAGGAAACAGAAAGATTTACTAGGGGCTGGGGGAGGAGCACTTGGGTGGTTGTGGAGTCTTGGGGTTGAAAAGGGCTCCGCACATACACTGAAAGGGATTAGGAGGTTTATTTCTAGAAGGTGAGCTTCTTTTCCTCCCTTATATTGTATGCAGGCTACCTGCCCTAAGCACTCACAACCCCAATCTCAGCACTAGACAATGAGCCAGTCACAAACTCTAGATTTAGCCATCTCTGAAGAGTCCACCTCCAGTGACCTTATGAGGCTCTGGGGGACATAGACACCGACCATAGCAGGCACCCTGCTGCCACCTCCCTTAATTCCTCACATCAGGTCATTAGAGCCTTTACCACTATGTGCATTGTCTGCAAGTGGCTACCTCTTCTTTGGGTTGTTGCACTAATACAGTGGTGGTGAACCTATGGTAGGCCTGTTACTGTGTTTTACTTTTAAGACAAAAATAGAGTAGTTTTTTTTCTAAACCTCATTCAGGTTTAATTTCAGTGTTGGCAGTTTGAGATAAATAAGCAGGTTTTGGATTAAGGTTTGGCACTTGTTCTCTAAATGGTTTGCCATCACCATACTAGATAGTACCTGAGGCTGTCATCAGCTAGAATTGGGGGTTTGAGATTCTTGTTGACCTGCACGTAAGTATGTATAACAGACACTAGGTGTATGATTTTAGGGTGAGAATGCCTTGGAGATACAAGATGGCACTGAAACTGGAAGAGGACATAGGAGCTGAAGTCTAAAAAAAGAACCCTGAGGAACACTGATGTTTAAGGACCAAGAAGAGGAAAGAAATGGGAAGGCTGTGTTGAAGAACCCAGGGAGCTTTTACAGGGCATTCACTTAACTGTGCTTTAAAGCGAGTGGTAAGAAAATGGGTCTTTCTTTACCCAGCTCTTAGAATAGGTGCTTTCTTGTAGACCCTTTGCTTGGCTCCGTGCTGGCCAGTTCCACTTTACCCTACCCCAAGTGCGGAGCCCCATTGATATCCCTAGCCTGGACCTAACACATGATCCAGAGTCCCTTCTGCTTTAGTCTAAGATTGGAATAGATTTGGGGCCCAGTCGCAGAAATTCTGATTCTGTAAGGGGTCCAAAGCCTTTCTGAATCTAAGGAACACTAATGTGTAGAATTGCGGGAGAGTGGGACCTTGTTACAGCAAACTTTATACAATTTGATGGAGAGATTGGCAACCATGGAAACCTAGCGCAAACTTCTTGCTGTGCCTGAGTGTGAGTGGGAAGAGTGTTACCATCTGGCCTAATCTGTTGGAGATTTTAAATGTTTTATTGTGTGGATTTTTGCAACACATGCCCCTGGTGCCCGGCATCTTGATTTCTTAGTCAACCACTGATTTCAGCTAAAACTCAAGAGTTTCTCAAAGTCTTGCCAGCACCTGTTTTCTGACTCAGGGCCTTCAAGTGCAGCAACAGGGAGAGAGGTTAACACACATAGCCTTCAGCCAGCAGAGGTTGCCAGCTAAATGCTGCCTCCTTCATTACCACCACTTTCTAGTAGTCCCCTGAATTGTGATTCCTTACTGGCTTTTCCCCTTCCCTGGTCCTTTTCCTCCCTTGGGATCCTCTTTTGTTGTTATCTTGAACACAAGTGTCAGCTAA